CCCCAGGAAGATGCTCCAGTTGGGCAGGTTGCTGACGGTGCCGTTGAGGGAGGGCGGTTCTTGCCACACAACTGCAGGGTAAGAGGTAAATGGGGTATGTATGTATAACGTATATATGTATATATATACATATATATATACATACATATATATAATATATATATATGTATGTAAGTATGTACATGTATTCAGATATCCATAACTGAAATCATAAAACTTAAAATTGATATTAAGAAAACTACCTAACCTAGGTCGTGTTTTGAAGAAAATTTCTCAATTCCCGTCCGAAACACATGGTTTGCTCTGTTCAGTTAACGTTCCGTGTGGCCTTCCCTGCCAATATTCTCAGTGTATTTGTCTATTATATATATATATATATATATATATTATATATATATATATATATATATATATATATATTATATATATATTGGATTTGCTGATAATATTGTTGTTGGTCCCTTCCTTCACGCCGTCTAATCTCCGAAAGGGACAAACTGGCAACTGAACCTTGACACGAACATCCTTATTCGGTGGTTTTCTTTGGAGAGGAAAATAACGAAGCGGGGTAAAGCAATGAAAAATAATGGATAGAAGCTTTTTTTTCCTGATCTTTTCGTGATATATGGAAACCTGAAGTATTACGGGTGAGCTGATTAAAAATTCATCGGGTGAGTTGCCAGGTTTTCCTTTTCCTGAGATTGGACTGGCCGTAGATCTACATTTTTTTTTTTTTTTTTTTTTTTGATAACGTCTAGTGTTTTTTTTTAATCCATTTTTTGTTACTCTGTCGTAGTGTCCTTGTTGTTTTTACTAATATAAAGAACGAAACAATATGGAAGTTCATTTAGGTTGAACGTTATAGGGAAAGAAAAGTCAATTCGGAAGCTAAATTTTGAATTTCTTTCCTGCTATTCTAACTGATTTAAGTTGAAAATATTTTGACAGAATGAATTATGAATCATAACGAAATGTAATGCAATCAGACATTTTTCTGTTAGAGATTATTTGAATTTGATTTTAAATTGCTACTCATATTTTGGATCAATTGGATCAAGTGTGTGTGTTGTATGTACATATGTTTGTATGCACGTATGTATGTATACGTGTATGCTTATGAGTGTGTGTGCGTATGTATGTATGTATGTATGTGTATATATGTATGTATGTATGCGTGTATGTATGTTTATGAGTGTGTGTGTATGCATGTGAGTGTATGTGTGTATGTATGTATATATGTGTGTATGTATGTATGTATATATGCGTGTATGTATGATTATAAGTGTGTGTGCGTATGTTTATATATATATATATATATATTATGTGTGTGTGTGTGTGTGTGTGTGTGTGTGTGTGTGTGTGTGTGTGTGTGTGTATGTATGTATGCGTGTATGTATGTTTATGAGTGTGTGTGTATGTATGTGAGTGTATGTGTGTATGTATGTATATATGTGTGTATGTATGTATATATGCGTGTATGTATGTGAGTGTGTGTGTATGTATGTGAGTGTATGTGTGTATGTATGTATGTGTATGTATGTATGTATGCGTGTATGTATGTTTATGAGTGTGTGTATGTATGTGAGTGTATGTGTGTATGTATGTATATATGTGTGTATGTATGTATGTATGCGTGTATGTATGATTATGAGTGTGTGTGCGTATGTATGTATGTGAGTGTATGTGTGTATGTATGTATGTGTGTGTATGTATGTATGTATATATGCGTGTATGTATGATTATGTGTGTGCGTATGTATGTGAGTGTATGTGTGTATGTATGTATATTGTGTGTGTATGTATGTATGTATATGTTTATGAGTGTGTGTGTATGTATGTATGTATGGTATGTAATGTATGTATGTATGTATGTATGTATGTATGTATGTACGTATGTATGTATGTACGTATGTATGTATGTGCGTATGTATGTATGTACGTATGTATGTATGTACGTATGTATGTATGTACGTATGTATGTATGTGCGTATGTATGTGCGTATGTATGGTATGTATGTATGTGTATCGTATGTATGTATTTGGGTGTCATCCCCAAAACCTTTCCCGTCTTACCTGTCTCGCACTTGAGTTCCGCGTCTGTGAGGTGCCACTCCCCGTCCTCCTGGCACTCGACGGCGGTCTTGTAGGTGGCCCGGTACTAGGCAGAGAGTGCCAGTGTTAGTTTACGTACATTTAGGAGGAATTTGATCCTTACGACATTTTTTCTTTTCTTTTTTTGTCTTGTGAAATAGTACTTGTATCCGCATATATATGTATATATACACATACACGCACGCAATCACGCACGCAAGCACACTCACTCACTCACAGACACACCCACTCATTCACAGACACACATCCGCACGCACACACACTCACAGACACACGCGCACATTCACACACATTCACACACACACACACACACACACACACACACACACACACACACACACACACACACACACACACACATTTACACACACACAGACACGCACACGCACGCACACACACACACATACCCCAAATGACTTGAAGAAATTCTCTGACGAGCAGTGATAGTAGACTCTGGCGCCGACGCGTCTGTCCGTGAACTCCTCCCGTGTCACGTCCCCCTCGCCCTCAGGAGGCTCGGAGGAACAGCCCGGCTCGCACCCGTCCGCAGCCTCCCAGCCGGTCGAGAGGCACGTCACCAGCCGGCTCTTCCCTTCGGCGTGGAAGCGGCCAGGCGAGCACGTGGCGGTGACGCTGGAGTTCACGAGGTAGTGGACGGAGCCCTGCCAGTCCGTTTGGGCGTTGGGGATCGTCGGCTCGGCCATGCACCCTGCGGGAAGGGGCGCGAGGGGGGCGCTGAGAAAGGGGGGTTGTGGTTCGAAGAGGGGGAGGTGGGAGGGAACGCGAGGGGGAGCTGAAAGGGGTTGTGGTTCGAAGAGGGGGAGGTGGGGGGGGGGAACGGGAGGAGGGCACTGAAAAGGGGGGCTGTGGTTCGAAGAGGGGGAGGTGTGGGGAAGCACATCACATAACATAATACAACACGAAACACAACACACATAACACAACAACACGAGACACAAACAGCACATAACACAATACAACACGAGACACAACACAGCACATAACACAATACAACACGAGACACAACACAGCACAAACACAATACAACACGAGACACAACACAGCACACAACACAATACAACACGAGACACAACACAGCACACAACACAATACAACACGAGACACACCACAGCACACAACACAATACAACACAGCACATAGCACAATACAACACGAGACACAACACAGCACACAACACAATACAACACGAGACACAACACAGCACACAACACAATACAACACGAGACACAACACAGCACATGAGACACAACATAGCACATAACACAATACAACACGAGACACACCACAGCACACAACACGAGACACACCACAGCACACAACACGAGACACAACACACACACACACACACACAGCATCCCTCCATCTCTGCGGCCACTCACTCCAGCAGGGATGAGTGACCTCGGGGAGCAGCTGCATTCCCTCTGGGGTCTCCGTGCACCTGATGACCTCCTCCTCGGCCCCGTCCTCGCTCGACCCCATCGTCGGCGGGCAGACGTAGGTGGCCCACGTCCCCTCCCTCGGGAACTCGTGGCTCAGGACCGGTTCGAGGTCGCTGTCGGGAAGCTCTCCGTCGCAGCCTGCGGGAGGGTTGGGTATCCTGAGGGAGGGTTGGGTATCCTGGGGGAGGGTTGGGTATCCTGGGGGATCCTGGGGAGGGTTGGGTATCCTGAGGAGGGTTGGGTATCCTGGGGAGGTTGGTATCCTGAGGGAGGGTTGGGTATCCTGGGGAGGGTTGGGTATCCTGGGGCCTGGGGGAGGGTTGGGTATCCTGAGGGAGGGTTGGGTATCCTGAGGGAGGTTGGGTATCCTGGGGAGGGTTGGGTATCCTGGGGAGGGTTGGGTATCCTGGGGGAGGGTTGGGTATCCTGGGGAGGGTTGGGTATCCTGGGGGAGGGGAATATCCTGGGGGAGGGTTGGTATCCTGTTGACCTGGGGAGGGTTGGGTATCCTGAGGAGGGTTGGGTATCCTGGGGGAGGGTTGGGTATCCTGGGGGAGGGTTGGATATCCTGGGGGAGGGTTGGGTATCCTGAGGGAGGGTTGGGTATCCTGAGGATGAGTTGATCTTGAGGCGAGCTGGAGTCAGCCTCGACGAAGTAGGTCGAGCTGTGGCATTTGCTCGTCACCAGATTTTCCTATTTTGAATCCGTGTTTGCCAGACACTAGGTGTTGTTAGAACTGCCTGTGTGTACTATGTATATCTGCACGTAAACCGAGGTAAAATATCATGTATGGGATACTCCAGGCTAAGACTTCTGTAGACTTTGCTCCAGGCATTAAGAATCAGGGTGTTTAGCATACAAAAAAAGAGTGCAGTGCAATAAATGGTGTTTATTAAAACTAATATTTCTCTCGCAAATTCTGACAGGTAGAAGTCGCCCTGGCAGTTCTTGGGAGGAACTTTCTTTGAGGAATAATAATGGTAAAAGTTCAACACTGTGAAAAACAACTGAATATTACTATTCTTGTAAATATGAATTTCTTCGTGTTTTCAGACAAATATATACAAAACCACACATCAATTTTTTAAAATAATAAGCTTAGTAGAGGAAGCTCGAGCCGAATGTCATCAAGATTGCATGTATATATTAACGGCCGTTTTTTTCTTCTTCTTTTTTTAAAGAATAATGCGAGGCCTGACTCAGAAATAAATGCATATCTATCAGTCTTTAAGATATATATACATTCATTTCTATATCTATACGGTAGATATGTATGTCTAGACTTTAGAGATATGCATTTATTTGTCTCTACGTATATCCGTATAATTAATGTTCATTGGGTCAAGCCTCGCACAGTTTTGACAAACCGGCCGCAAGTCTGTCACAAATCAACATTTCTGGCCAGACGTTGTGTCTATCGGCCATCCTCTGACACTCCAATCGGGAGGGAGAGGAGAGGGGAAGAGGGACGGAGAGGAGAAGGGGGAGGGAGGAGAGGGGAGAAAGGGGAGAGGAGAGGAGAGGGAGATAGGGGGAAAGGGAGAGAAGGGAAGGAGAGAGGAGAGGGGAATTGGAAAGGGGAGAGGAGAGGGGAGATGGGGAGAAGATGGCAGGTCCACTACTCCACTACTCACTCCTCATGAGGACACATCCGGGTACTTCCTGCCATCCGGACTCCGTGCACTGGACTTTCTGCTTTCGCTCTCTCCATCGCACGTAATGGTCGCGGCGGCACATGGCGACCACGGCACTCCCGACTTCGTACATGGTCTCGTTGTCCCAGGTCGTCCAGGCATTGGCCACTTCCGGCTTCCCCGCGCATGCTGGAGGTGTTGTGTATATAAGGAAGTGTTGTGTATTGATTTCTTTCGTTTTTTTTTTTTTTTTTTTTTTTTTTTAGTGACGCAACGACTAAAAAAAAGGGTTGAGATTGGGCGGCCAATCTCAGGAAAGGAAAATTTAGTATACTTATAACAAATAGACTGCAAACGGACGCGAGAAAAAATCTAATATCTATTTGTCTATTTATCTCTTCCTTAGTTCAGAGATATATATAAAATCTGTCTGCAAAAAAAAAAAAAAAAAAATCAACGATATGATTTTTAACGAATTAATTAGAACAGATACCATTATAAATCAAATGGAATCCGTCAGCTGTAGTAATATTTTTATTTAGCTCATTACATCATCAGATTACAAAAGTGACCAAAGATGATATGTATCAAATGTTTCCTACGGCCTCTCCCAATATTCTGCTAAATATATACATAATTGCATTTTGTGATGATTATGGCATGGGTGGGAAGTGTCCTAACAGCTGGATGATTATTTAATTGTGATCTTAAATTAAATTAAATTAAATTAAATTAAATTAAATTAGATTAGATTGATTAAATCCTGATCTGCGCGGCTGACAGATCCGAAGAATTATTATCGGAAATAAATTGCTTTCTTGAATAAATGTAAAAAAAAAAATAATAATAATAATAATAAAAAAATAAAAATAAAATAATCAAGCGAGTAGTAACAGCAAAGATAAAAAAAGAAATGAGACACATTTCCATAAAAAAAAAAAAAAAAATGAAAATAAAATAGCGCGGCAGGATCAAAGCTAAAATTAGCAGCGAACATCTTGATTAAATTAAAGCGTCTTAATGAACGTGCGTCCTGAAGTCTCTGCAGAAGGACACGAAGGACAAAATTCTGGGCCAGTGACCTCGCCGCGAAAACTAAGAAAAAGGGACACTATACATCGACTCAGAAAATGAAAGAAATAACGTTTTACAAGTAATAATTCGATGAACCGCATCCATGTTGACAAATGTAGAAAAGGTATGAATGAGACTGGATATCGTCGCAATACAATACATCTCTTGTATTGTGAAGATATCCAGTCTCATTCATACATTTTCTACAAGTAATAATAGCGAAACTTTTAAAAGATACACATATCCCTCATTTAGAAAAGAATTCATTAATCAGATTTATAACTGATATGAAAATTCGATACTCAGATTACAGCACTACAAAATTTTCTTCAGTATTAAAATCCTCTACAACTCACTAAATACGATTTGGCATTGGAATCAACAGACGAACAGTCAAATAAATTTTGCGTTGCAATTATGGAGGTTTAAGAGAAAATCATTTTTTTTAGTAGGCATTCTTTTCATAACAAATGAATAGAGTAACGTATCTCCTTGGCATTAAAACCTAACATAACGATATTCATAATCATGATACGAATAATAACAATTACAATGACAGAATTGATAATGATTATATTTCTTGAGCTCGGTAACACAAAACATAAATTACGAAAAATAAAAAAAAATACTAAAAAGGAGAAACTGATTCAATTTCCCTATCTTCAATTCTGTGAGAACTAGTAGAAAGACAATTTTGATGATATTAGCAAGAATTATGAGGATAATAACAATGATAAGGATACAAATAATAATGATAATGATAGTCATAATGCGTATCATGATGAAAGTGACAATAAAACACACACACACACACGCACACGCTTGCACACACACACACAAACACTCACACTCACTCAAAAACAATTTCTTTCTTGTACCTGGACAGTCGGAGACGCGAAGAGGTGAAAACCTGTATCTTGTCCTTAACTTTCTGCATGTAACCGTCTGGTTGGTAGCATTTTTCAGGGTAACCATGCGAGCTGGACAGGTATACGTCACAGTACCATTATCGCTTTTGTAGTTTTCGCTCAGGGTTCTTGTCAATGACTTCGGGGTGTCGGGCGGATCCTTGTGACAGCCTGGGGTGGGAAAAAAAGAAAAATAAAATGAAAAGAAAAGAAACAGTCGGCTTCTCTTAAGCGGAGGTTGGGACTGAGGATCTGAGGATCTCTCTCTCTCTCTCTCTCTCTCTCTCTCTCTCTCTCTCTCTCTCTCTCTCT